AGAGAGAGAGAGAGAGAGAGAGAGAGAGAGAGAGAGAGAGAGAGAGAGAGACAATGACAAAATTGAAATATGGGTCAAATTGCGGCCGCAAACTGTTTTGCAGTTGGAATAATTTTTTTAAATGTATTTACCATTTTTCCTGGAAAGATCATAACAAAATCTACGAGTACTCCAATTTTCAGGTTTTTTCACTCATTCTTCTGAGCGTGAAAACTCACTGAATTTGGAGTACTTTTTTAGTTGGCCCAGGCATGGCTGAGTGGCAAAAATGGAAAACGTGCCGAATCGGCGCGACGATTATTTCGCAGTGTAAATGATTTTTGTAAATGTTCTATTATTATTTCTGGAAAGAACACGACCTCATCTATGGATTCTCAAAATTTCAGATTTTTGTGCATGTTCGTCTGAGCACAGAAAATCGCCGAAGTTGCCTCTTGCAAAACGCCTATTTCATTGTGCCTGACCTCCCTGTTTCGAGAAGACGGGGCTCAATGCCTGGGCATGAGGGCCCTTTTGCAGTTCACATGCCAAATCGAGAACCTCTCTCTCTCTCTCTCTCTGTGCGTGTGCGTGTGCGTGTGCACGTGTGCGCCTGCCTGTGTGGGCACAATAGAATGGTTGTGGGCACAATAGAATGGTAGGTAGGCGAACATACAGAAAGATAGATTGCTAGGCACACACACACACACAGAGAGAGAGAGAGAGAGAGAGAGAGAGAGAGAGAGAGAGAGAGAGAGAGAGAGAGAGAGAGACGTTTGAAAACAGAAAATACAAAACAGAAAACATGTCCCATACCAGTAGGAGCACTTGCAAACTTGACCAGGGTATATGGAGACGTTGCACAGGACCAGGGCGGGGCACATGCGAAAGATGAAGGACCCAATCGGCAAGTGGGCCCTTCGCAAAGGTCCTTGGGCATTTCACAAAGTTTCAGCGGCATTTCGTGATAAACCTTTGGGGTACCTGAAGAACTGCGCCGACTTTCAGGGTCATTTCAACAAATTTTCCCACTAAAATAAGAGAATGGCCAACCCGAGCCAGACGTGGCCGAGAGCCAGAGCCCAAGCCTCCAGACATTCATCTTCGGCCCCGCCCCTAACCTCCCCGACATCCCCCAAGCCCGGACTCCGAGGGTATCTTCACAGATTCGCGATTGTCGAAGGTGCGGGCTGGGCGGGTCCTTAGACTGCGTACGTGCGCGCGAGCATTCTCAGGAACAAACGTACGCGCGCGCGCACAGACGCACCGACACCCACACACCCACACCCACACCCACACCCACCCACACCGACACACACCCACACACAGAGAGAGAGAGAGAGAGAGAGAGAGAGAGAGGGAGGGCAACGATGGCAGACGGCGGAGTGTGCGTCATGCGGAGTTTCCCGAGGTTGCTGACGATGACGCTTTCTCCCTCGGCCGCACACGGTCTCTGTTGCCACTCCTCGTCACACTCACGCGGGCGGCATCTCTTGCATGAGAGTGTCCGGTGTTCACGGTCTGAATCCGTTGAGGCTACTAGTCGGATTAAGTTCCGCGTCCCTATACGATCTGTCGGCGCTACAGTAATTGCTTCGCCTGTGGAGGCTGAGCAGCTATCGGGGTCGGGATTGGGGTGGCGATCCGCCACGGGACGCAGCTGTGTTGAGGGGGGTATTTGGCGTCACGGCGGGGG